ATCCTCACTTACTCAAAGTCAGACAGTTGATGCTTCACTGTTATAGCCACTCGTCATTTCCTATTCTCGTGTGTCTGTGTGCAGCTGTTAAGGAGGAACCCAGAGAGAAGGTTGGGATCTGGTGAGAAGGATGCAGAGGAGGTGAAGAAGCAGCCATTTTTCAGAGTAAGTAGACTTAAAGGTACCTAGGCAACTTGTTGGGGGTGAGAACGCAAGATGGAGATTCGTTAGCAAACACTGAGAGGTGGAAGAGGTTTTTCTCGTGTGTTTACAGCCAGACTGTTATGGTGGTTGTTTCGAAGCCCTTTGAATTGCAGCTTTAATTGCTCTTCTTGCTCTTATTCTTGTCCGTCTCTCCCTCCAGAGCATGGACTGGGAGGCGCTGCTGCAGAAGAAGTTGCCCCCTCCCTTCGTCCCGTCCATCGGCGGCAAAGAAGACGTCAGTAACTTTGACGAGGAGTTCACCACGGAACCTCCGACGCTCACGCCTCCACGTGAGCCCCGTGCGCTCTCCCGCAAAGACCAGGACAGTTTCCGGGACTTTGACTACGTCTCTGACCTCTGCTAGTGGACCCGAAGCCAACAGATCTCGAGGAACGTTGGATTTCGACGACTTCGCGACAGTTTCAGCCGGAGCACAGAGATATGTCTCAAGCTGACTGTCCGTGCTCGTCTGTCGCTTCTTGTTACACTGTGAATGAATGAAACTGAAGACGAAGAGACTGTGTTTTGTGTGTCTGCAGAGTTTTAAAGATCATGGACTGAGCAAATGAAAGCCTGGACAGAAATTAGTTGGGGTTATAATGTTTTATCACAAACAAAGGCCCCCCTTTCCAGTCATTGTACGAAACTGCAGTGGGTTTTGTATCTTGCAGACTTTTAAAAGTCTCTTCCCGTCGTCTTAGACGTCTCGGCAGTCGCCAGTGCAGCTGTGAGAGGAGGAGCTTGCTGTATTTTTGTACTTTTGACTGTTTAGGGGTTGCTCAGTGGCCTCTCATACCAATGCCTTACATTTATACTTGTATTTGTTCCACAGAAAAAAAGCATTTTGTTTTACTTTGTGGCCCTTTGTGTACAGCAGCAGGGCGAGGAGGGATACAGTGTGCTGCAGAAACTCCTCTATGTTTTTGGAAGAGAAAAAAAAGACACTCAGAGCTGATACCCATCAGTCTTTTGACTGCTTTTAGGTGTATTATTAGTTAACTAATGGGTAAAGAACCACTGTCCTGCTTCGCTGCAGTGGACCTTCCTTTGGATGTCCACCAACTACTTTTTAAACTTGGGTTGCTCGGATTTTACAAGAGCAGTTGACTCGTCCTTTTTAGTTGAATGTTTGGGTTTTAGGAAGAATTTGATATAAATGTGTAGCACACACACACACACACACACACACACACACACACACACACACACACACACACACATAACCGTCAGCATAAAAGCTTTGAGGAAAACATTTATTATTCCAAAAGCAAAAATCTGAACACTAAACTGTGATGTACAAGTAATAAACTGCTCTTTATGGGTTTGGAGACACGTTCATCCAGTCACCTGAGTGCTACCAGAGTTTTGTGAACATGAAGTAAGTGATTTCCCTCCGAGGCGATTAAATCTTTAACCTCACTGGCTGTAAAAGTTGTTTTAGTGTCTGTTTTCGGCGCTTAAGCCCTGACAGGTTACGCTCTGGCTGCTGCGGTCGCTGTGGCGGTTTCCGAAACTTGTTGATGTCTAAGTACTTGTGGAAACTCTGCGGGGCGCCATAAGCAAAACAAACATGAGCTGCTTTTCCACAGTAGAGCCAATTAGAGAGGCGAGAGCTGGCGTAGACCTCTGGTAATACCTTTGATGATATCTGTAGGAAAACCATGAGCCAACAGTGAAAACCTGTGTAACACACAAGAGCAGTGGTTTGTTGTTAAGATGTATGTGCGGTGGTGTGGATTTTACCTGTCTTGTGTACAACAGTACAGAACCATGTGAGTATGAGATGACATATTTTATAAAGAAAACCGTGAGTGAATGTGTGTTTATTGTCATCATGGGACGGGGGAAAGGGGCATCTCAAATTCATTTAAATAAAAATAACACAGTAATGTATAGATGGATGCACGTTTAATTTAGTATTTGTGAATGAATGGAGCAGGATGCAGATGGCTACTCACCTGCTGCAGTGATTGAATAAATACTCACCAGCCACTTTATTAGATACGCCTGTTTTACTGCTCATAAACTCAAACATCTAATCAGCCAATCACATGGCAGCAACTACGTGCACTTATGCACCTCTAGACCTCTAGAAGCAGAACGTGCACATCTGTCACTGCAATTTAGAGAATAGTCCAAAAAAGAGGAAATATACAGTGATTTGGCGGTTTTCTGAGTGAAAATGTCTTATTGATGTAAGAGGAGTGAGGTCAGGAAAAAAAGAACCACTTGCTAAATACAAAGTATGTAGAAGAGCATGTCTAAACGTGCAACGTGTTGAACATTAAAGCAGATGGGCTACAGCAGCAGAAGACCACTATGGCTATACGAGCTGAAGTCAGCATGAAAGCATGGGTCCATCCTGACTGTTATCAGTGGTTCAGGCTACTGCTGTGTAATGCTGTGGATTACATTTTAAGACAGTTCTCAAATGGTATTAGCAAGGTGTACCCAATAAAATGGCTGGTGAGCGTATACAGCCCATTATCACAGATTCTGTATCAACATTTTTCAGTACATTCATTCAAACCTGCCAGAGCAGGACTAAAATGAAATTAGAGGATAAATAGTTTATTCTCCTGATGGACAAAGTCAAATTATGTCATTTCTTCTTCTCGTGATATTACATCAGAGAAAAATGCATCAAAAATGTGACTGTAGTGAGCATCTGTTTTAATATGTGAGTCAGAATTTTAGAAGAAAAAAGACTCCTCGTGGCAGTTTTAACCATATCACAGGACTTCAAACAAGACTAGTGAGCAAATCACTTTAACTGGATTCACTGTATTTGCACCAACTCCTGGAGTTTCCCTGACTTTTGACCGGCTGCTAAAGAAGAAAGCATCACCAATGGAAAAACATCAGAACTGGTCCTTAATGGTCGACCTTTCGTGGAAACACGAGTGCCTGGATCCGCAATGATAAGTGCTGATCTGCATCTTATCCTCATGTACTCTCAGCACCATGTAAACAGTAAATTCCAGTAATAATAAATAAATCATTTCACTTCAAATTATCTCAGTAAATGTCCACTACCTGCAGGGAAATTTACCAGATAGAGTTATTTTAACATGTGTGCAACCTTATTGTGTTGCCTTTCCTGGACTGCGCCATGCACATTGAAGAGAACGGCAAACTCAACATCGAAGTTTACCGGAAGCCCACACACACGGACCAGTACCTCCTCTTTGACTCCCATCACCCTCTGGAACACAAACTTGGAGTAATTAGGACCCTACACCACCGGGCAGAACATGTTCCCTCTAAGCCTGAAGGGAAAAAGAAGGAACACACACACGTAAAGGAAGCATTCAAAACCTGCGGCTATCCTAAATGGGCGTTCTTAAAGTCAGCAAAGAGGCACAGAAAAGAAGACCAGACACCAGCGAGGGAGGATAAGAAGGACAGACGCAACAACACTGTCATCCCCTATGTAGCTGGTGTATCAGAGAAGCTCAGGAGAGTTTTCTCCAAGCATGACATCCCGGTGCATTTCAGACCCAGCAACACGCTCAGACAGAAACTGGTTCACCCGAAAGACAAAACGCCAAAACACAAACTTAACAATGTGGTGTATGCTGTACAGTGCAGTGAGGAATGCCCAGACTTCTACATTGGAGAGACCAAACAGCCACTTCACAAGTGCATGGCACAACACAGAAGAGCCACCTCCACAGGACAAGACTCAGCAGTCCATCTGCATCTTAAGGATAAAGGACACTCTTTCGAGGATGCCAATGTTCACATTTTGGACAGAGAGGACAGATGGTTTGAAAGAGGAGTTAAAGAAGCCATCTATGTTCACTGTGAGCGACCATCTTTGAACAGAGGCGGTGGTTTACGACACCAACTCTCTGCCATCTATAATCCAGTTTTGAGTTCCCTTCCCAGACGCCTTAACGCCCACTCACATCCTGGGCCATCTGACCTCAGGAATTCGCATGATAAGGTGGTTTCACAATGAACTCACCCGAAACTCTGGCTGATTGGGACCCACACCCAGTTTCGCACCTTGGCTCAGGGGATTAGAGGATCATCAGGGGGTCCTTTTGTCCCTCTGTGGGGGGATACTCCCACTAGGTTTAAATCTGGGACTCTCCACCATTTGACCTTAGAACTGAAGAAGCTTCTCGGATGAGAGGTGAAACGTCTTCAAGTAACTTAAAGAAGTCCAGACGCTTTTCTTTGCAAGCTCCTTTGACTATGATGACCTGGATGACCGAGAACCTTCACAGACAACCTTATTGTGTGATTTTTATATCTAAGATACTCTGAACACTTTATATTAGATTGGATTGATGTTCATTTCATGCATAGAAGGGTGGAAGTACTGAAAACAACTGCTGTAACAATAAGGATGTTGTACATACTATAAACTCCTAGTGTAATCTACCTGTTCAGCAGCATTCGACTCGAACCCGGTCTAGTCTCACTACCAGTTTTAAACCTCCCCTCTCAGTCTTGCTGCTACAAATTATACTGAAATTAACACCTAAACGTGCATTTTGTGCACGTCCTAAAATGCAAACAAACTGATTTCTGCTTGCTGCCCAGTAACTGTTTTTTTTCCAATCCTGAAAATGGGTAATTAATTGGTAATTGCTACCAAGAATATTTGTTTTTAGCAGTATTAGGGTATAAATTATGATTTTCTTTAGGTGGGCACCAAAAATCTATGGGGGAAAAAGAATGAGTGTGGCAGTGGGTCTTTAGGACACACGTGTTACTGCAGCGTGTGTGTGCGCGCGCGTGTGTTGTGTGTATATGTGTGTGTCAGTCAGTCAGTCAGTCAGTGTGCTGCTGGCCTGCCTGCCAGAGAGGGGAGTCGAGAGCTCTGCTGGGAACTACATGGTGCTCAATTTTTCAAGATGTCGTCGCTGGAACAGAGGCTGTCGCGAATCGAAGAGAAACTAAAGCAGGAGAATGAAGAAGCTCGCCGGAGAATCGACCTCAACATCGACATGAGTCCACAGCGGTCACGACCGAGGCCGAGTGAGTGTCCACTGGGGAGGACCGGGGTGTCGGTAACGGCCAGAATAGCAGGGGGAAAGATCGGAGCTGCGGGGCCGGAGAGCGGGGGGAGAGGAGAGGAGAGGAGCGGAGTGAAGGAGTCGGGGCTGTTATGCTGCTGCTACCTTCATGCTAACAGGCTAGCTACATAAACAAACACAGACTCAGGCTGGCCCGCTTATTTTATTGCCAAATTAATAATTAAATAAGTGGGACATTTTCTGTAGTGAGTAACGTAAAGGAAAAGTATACAAACCGAAGCGATGTTACGAAACATCTTGCCGGTAGACGTGTCCCTGAATCTGTTTTGATTGTCCTGTCAAACATGCTAAGCTAGCAGGCTAGCAGACGCTCTGATAGTCTGTGGCGGGGCCCAGCGTCAGAAAATGTAATGCAGTTTCAGTTTGCGCATGAAAAGCTGTGGTCCTGCCAGTCAGCCGCAGAGCATCTATACACTCTGAAAACCTGCAAGCGGTACATTTGATCGTGATTTTTGCCATAGACTTTGTTTTAGTTGCCATTTTGATCTTGACGAAACATGCTAATTTGAGCAGGCTAAATAACGCTAGCTCTGGATGCGTTAACTTAACGTAGGTTACGGCTTGGCTGTTGTGGCAAACACTGGTGCGACGTAACAAATCTTGTGAAAATTGAGATTTGTCGCACATATATTGAATGAAGCGTTCCACGGGTGTTAGTGGACAAACACTCTGTGTCACAGGAGCTGGTGTTAGCAGTGATGTTGGGGCCCTTTCGGGCGAAAAGTCAAGCAGCAGGGAGGTCTGCAGCCTGCCTCTGCTGTGGTTTACACACCAAAGCTCTTCATTATCTTTACATTCTTACCAGCAGACTTTCAAAGTGTTAGCAATCTGAACCCCATTTTTTTCCTGCAGATCTTGTTGTCCGTTCATTAGGTTCGAGACCACAAACCTTTTTCCTCCTGTTATTTGAATTGTTTGTTATGAAGCTGATTATGTTGTCACAAAGAGCGTGAATGGGTTAAATCCGAAGTTTTTTCTTATTGTTGAAATCTCATTTGAAGTCTACAACCTCCTAAAAATCTGCTCCCTTGGATTCAAATCCTGGTGATAAAGGTCATTTCTGCGAGATTAGAGCTTGATTTATTGCCAACAAAGGTGCAAAATTGGCTTTTTTTTCCACCTTGTGTTATTACATGAAAAGTCTGATTGACTCCATTAGAATCACTTGTTTTTAACTTTGGCGTCATTAATGTCTAATGAAGCCATGCAAAACCCATCATGACACTTTTCCAACACGACAGGCCCTCTGTGCTTTTTGATCCACCTTATTTTCTTGATAGCGTCACAAATGCAGGCAATGGTCACATAAAAATTGACTGAATAACAACAATAACTGTTTAAAAACTACAACAAGATAAGTGTTATCCCCACTCTGTACTGACTGGAGATAAAATGTTCTTTTCTACAGAATTAGGATGCACCAGTCTAATATCTGGACAAAATATCGAAATATGATTCCTCCAGTGTTTAAATACTGCAGTTTCCCGGTTTAGGCGAAAATTGTGAAATCACCCACCAATGTGTACTTAAGGGCCCGTACCTCAGAGTATTTACTGAATGACGGTCAAATTTTGCATGGTTTCAGTAAATACACTAAAGTTACTGTATAAGGACAAAAAACAGCTGATTGATGGAGCTTTTTTCAGATTTGACTGGTTTCATATGAAGTGACACAGTAAGCTACTGACCCACTTTTTCTTGAACCTTCAATACGTGGCCTTATTTTAAATCCTGGGAAAAGAGTGCCAAAGAAAATATAAGAAACACTATGATTCATTAATGTGCAATGTAATTGATTTTAGTCTTCATGAGATTAATAGACAATAAGAAAAAGTTCAATTTAAGTTTAAACCACTCAAGTTATGTTGTGAAGAAATGAGCGAGTGATGTGTGTGTGTGTGGTGAGGTTTTTTTGTTTGTTTTTGAGGGATTTTTATGATTTGTGTGTGTGCAAAAGATGTGCGATTGTCTCCGTAGAACACTGCACTAATGTGCGTGTGTGTGTATTTTCTTTCCTCCGTCTAGTCATCGTGATCCAGCTCAGTCCTGCTCCAGCCCCTTCCCAGCGTGCAGGTATCATTCAGTCCATCGCTCTCTCTGCCACTGCACCCCCCCACCTTACCAACACCTTTGTCCTCCATTGCATCATCCACTCCCTCTTCCTTCATCTTCTCTCTTTCTTGTCTTTTGTTTTTAGTATAAATGCACACTTCTTTAGACCTATAAGACAAGAATAACTTTGGCTGCTTCTCACATTCTCAATAGTTTTCTTCGTTCTGGCCCTGCAAGTAAAGCTTAAAAAACACCTCGATACCACGACGTTCTCCACGTTTCTCTTAACATCCAGTTTAATTTAGAGGTTGAATGGATAGGGCTATGGTGAGAAATATGATACTGTGTTTACAAATGGCTAGTGTTAAATCTGACCACCACCTAATATGGGGTTATATCGTCTAGGCAGACTAGAATAGACTTTGAATAACTCATAAAAGTAACTTCTGTGAAAGATATGGATTACCATCAGCAGGCCAGCATATAAGCATCCAGTTTTATTTCCTACTCAATAAGGATGCGCCGATCATACAATCTAAATATTGGATAATGGTGATAATACTGTGATCCAACAAGACAATGCTTTTTTTTTCTCTCTAACCATTGTTATCATTGTTTAGTCTCACACTTGTGTGGAAGCTTTTCCTGGACTTCATACAAAGAAACGTGTTTTCTGTCGTCTCTGTTGAAGCAACTTTCAGCAGCTCTCTTATTCACACGGGGTGGTGGGTAGCTCCACATATTTGATTGGGTTGACTTTTATTCTGGATTACTCTTCCTGACGTGAGTTCAAAGCAGGGATCGACTCCATACTGTCATTTCACTTCACTTGTATCCTGACAGCTCCGCATCCAACACGGGTTTGTGAGGAGCGGTGAAAGGAGGTGCGTTTGGACTGAGAGAAGGAAAGGACAACTGTAAATGAGAGCTATGCACAGTAGCCTGTGATTCTTACAGTGAGCTAGCGCAGATAAATTGGAAAAGCTGGATCGGTGCGTCCCTGCTTCGTGTGGTCATCCTACAGCTGAATCAGTTTAATCCCTGTTTATGAATCCAGCGCTGTTATTTTATCCCAGCAGTCATTTACACCTCCTCTACACTCACATCATCCCTCCATCTTTCCATCTCTGCTCCTCCCTCTGTGTGAATGCGTGTCAGTGGCAGGGAAGTGTTGGTATTTGTTAATGTTCACTGTGTGTGTGTGTGTGGACATGTGTCGGATGATTAACCTGTGTTTCGCTGGAGGCAGAGAATCACGGTGCATGTGGCTTTTTTGCACGGCACGATGGGTTTTTTTTGTTTTGTTTTTTGGGGGTTGTGTTTCGTTTGACACAGTCTCTAATCCAGCATCCCCACTGGTCGGCCTGCAGGAGTGCTGCGAGCACTCCGGCCTCCCTCTCCCTCTTCGCTGTTTTCTTTGTGTGTCGACTGAAGACTTGCCTTCCTGTCCAAGAGTGACTGTCTGTCTGACTTCCAGCCTCAGTCTGTGCTATGCAGTTTTGGCCGAATCTCTTCTGTCTCTCTCACATCGGATCGTTTGATGTTGTGTGTTTTCTCATCTTCTGGCACCCTCCCCTTCCTTTTGCAGCGGCACTGTGTGAGCAGGAGGCGGTGCAGCAGTGCCTGCGAGTATCTGTGTTTGTGCGTCTCTCCCTTCCCTCGCTCTGTCTGCTCATCAATCCTCCCATCCGTCCATCTGGAGCCAGTCGAACTGTGGAGATGCAATTTGTGCCAAAGACCGCCTGAATCCTCCTTTCTTGTTACACTAACCCCCTCCTCTCCTTCACTAACTGGTTCTCCCCTTACAGGCTTCATTCATACAGGTGACTCACGGATCCAAACGCCCGCTGGCTCTCTACAAAAAAAGCTCCAAATCGTATTAACAACAACACTGCATGGTCCTTGAGATACGTTGCATACTGGTTGCAAACCTTTAAGACGATGATGGGAGATTGCTGTTAACCTGTCTGTAATAATATTTACGTTCAGGGTGGTCACTGCAGCTGCTGACTTTCTGTCTGAGAATTTGGTGCATGACCGGTACTAATACTACTGCAGATCGTTTCTTCCTGAAATTCTTTAATACGTCTATTATTGAGGATGAGTTTGTGCTTGTTTTGCATATGAACCTGATATTACACGGCTGGTGGCGTTTTAACATGTCTTCGAATGCATGATTTGGACTTATCTTTATAAAGGGCTAGAAGCATCTGGTATTCACCGTCTTGATTTCCTTTGCAGCCAAACCACACCTACAGCGCTTTAACAGTTTAACCAAAATATTGTAAAATCGTCTGCAGTTTTTTAAATTTATCAAAAGAAAAATAAGATGAAATGTGACTTCTCACTTGTATTTGCTCTCACTAATCATTCATGTGTTTAGTCCCCCTTTCAAGCCAGGAAAAGCTAAATAATGCTGCCTGACTTTATTTAAATAATAATTCTTTTATTTGATACTACAGTCTGTCGCCTTATTTTTTTTTTTTTATTTTTTTTGGTCATGTTTTAGGTTTTCTTTCCTGCAGTTGGTTTTATGGTTAAGATTAGTGGTGCAACGGATCAAAAATCTCACTGTTCGGATCAGATCACAGTTTTAAGTCACGGATCGGATCAATTTTCGGATCAGTGAAAAAAGACAAAAATTGAACATTTAATTATTTACTTATTGAAGTATTTTTTTTTCCTGTTTAAAAACATTCAACTCTAGTCTCATTCCACACAATTATTTTAAAAAAATTATGGTACAGTATAGGGCAGTACAGGGCTTTGTATCTACCACTCAATTCAATTTTATTTATAAAGCGCCAAATCACAACAACAGTTACCTCAAGGCGCTTTATATTGTAAGGTAGACCTTACAATAATACACACCGCTCATTATATCGCACTTCGCTGTGATATAATGAGCTGTCACGGTCACGTAGCTTACGTTGCCCTGGAGGTCCACCCAGTTGTAGTAGTTAGGGCAACAGAAGATGCCTGAGACAGTTCAGCCATAACTTTAAACTTTTCCTGCTCATACATGCTTGGAACAGGACATCATAGTGTGGCTCAAGCACGTTCATCATAGTTTAAACCCCTTGTTTTGCACAACGGAATACGGCCTCCTGTCTGCAGCTAAACACCCCAGTAGCTTTTGTAATAGCTTTAGCCCGGTTGGATTGGGCAGCAAAGGGCTGCTTAAATACCGAAAACTTCTCTGCTCCTCCACTTGGACCGCTAGCACTGGCCATAACTATCGCTTGACAGACCCACCACGCACACCATACACATATTTTTTTTTTTTTTTTTCTCCTTCTTTTTCGAATCTTCGGATCACGTGCGTGCCGAACCGTGGAGTGGGATCGGTTTGGATTATGGATCAACCGTGAGCCGTTGCACCACTAATTAAGATAAGTCAGTACTTGATAAAATCTGAAATTGCTGGCAATCTAAGGACACATTAAATATGTGCTTCCTCATTACAGGGTTAACCCCTGGTTCAGGTTTTCCTTTGCAGCGCAGGCTAATTAACAGCCTCTTTTGGTGCAGGGGTTTGTGCTTATACTGTTTCCCGCTAGATCGCTTCGTTCTAAGATCTGTAATGAGTAAAATACTTTCATATTCAAAATCGCGGCCTGAAGCAGTAAAAATGAAACCCGTGTTGTAATGAACTTGTAGTTTTCCTCTTAAAAACAAACTGTGACTCCCAAACTGTGCATTAAATCTGTGCAGTTTCTCTCTGTCTGAGAATAGTGCTCTGAGATAACCGTCCTGTTTGTTTTAACGTTTGGTCAGGACATCAGCGGAACCAAAACAAAGCTGTAACGCTCAAAGAGGAGGGGAAAGGAAAAAAAACAAGTTCCAGTAATGGCTAAATAATGTGCAGGATCTAGGTCATAGCGATGTAATGAGCAAACTCTTTGACCTCAGCAAGCATCATATCTTTCTTTTATTGTGCAGAGAACAGTCAGAATACCATTAAAAACGCCACATTATCGCCTTCTTTACTGGTGGTCAGCAGCTTTAAGTAGCTACCATCCCTTTAAGCAACAGTACCATCATCATCCATCTTCTCCTTTCAGGGTCTAATTTTTCATATCCCCTCTCCCCCAGCGCTCCAGCTGCCCCTGGCTAACGATGGAGGCAGCCGTTCGTCATCTTCAGAGAGCTCGCCCCAGCACCACCCGTACCCCAGCCGCCCACGACACATGCTAACCCTGCCCACGCCTCCGTATGGCCTACAGAAGAGCCTAGAGAAGTGCGTTCACATTTTAAGCATGTTCTGTTCTGATTACAAGGAAAAAAAGCATTTACAGGTTTTACTGTGTCCTCGTGGTCCTATAATAAATGGTAATGGTTTTGATTAAAAAATCAGTAACCTTTCTGGGAGTATCCCAGTACTCCCATTAATTTGTAAGACAAAGAAGGAACACAGAGAGTAGATGCACACTCTGTGTTGTGTGTTATGGATCTACATGCAGAGTGTGGGTGAAAGAGACGCTCAGTAATCCACTCCATTTATGAGTCAGGTCTCTCATCTGGCAGCGTAGGTTGTACGCACTTCCTGTTGCATTTCCTGACACTGATTTCTTTTCCTTTTTGTCCTCCGCCTCCCCTGCAGTGCAGAGATTGACCAGAAATTGCAGGAGATCATGAAACAGACGGGTTATTTGAAGATCGACGGGCAGGTGAGAGACGTTGTAGTTACAGAAGTGAAACTAAGAATGAGGACGCAGACGTGATGTGGCTTTTGCTTTGTGTCTCTGTGAGCTGACGCTTTTTAGCAAACGCTGTCTGTGCAACCAAACCTCAACGCTCAATCTTCTTCCAAAACAATAAAAAAAAAATATGTTTTTAAAAATAGCGTCTGGCACTCAGGCGTGAATCAAGCTATAATTGTGACCTCTTTTCCCCCCAAAGATTTATATCCTGTTAACGGGCCTGGTTAGTTGTACTACAAAGAAAGTAGGAAAATAATAAATAGTAAATGGACTGGTTTTTATATAGCACTCAAGTACTCTACTTGAGTGCTCATAGCACTTTAATCGGTGTGTCTCATTCACGTAAGCACATTTTTCTACATCTGAGTCTACACACACTTACTCCCAACGTGTTTACCAAAGATGCTTTGTCATGCAGACTGGAATAGGCAGGGATCAAACTGCAAACCTTCCAAGTAGTAGATAATTTGCTCTACGACAGCTTCCAGCACCTGGTATTCCCACTTCCAATAGGAACCAAGCCCAAACCCGTTTAGCCTCTGAGATCAGGTGAGGTCAGGGTGGTATAACTGGCTAATAATATACAGAAATTAAGCCAGACGTATTTGTTAGTTGCGGTGCGGTATACTTACAGGTTACATGGTGTGTGTTTGTACGCACGCTCTCTCCGGGTTCTCCGGCTTCCTCCCACAGTCCAAAGACGTGCTCTTAGTCAACAAGGTGCTGGAAACCTTCAAGATTTTGGTCCATGTTGACGTGACAGCGTCACACATTTGCTGCAGATTTGTCAGCTGCAGGTCTGTGATGTAAATCTCCACAATATCCCAGAGGTCCTCTATTGAGACCTTGTGACTCTGGAGGTCGTTTGAGTACACTGAAAGAAACCAATTTGAGATGATTTGATGTGGTCTGTAATGTCACAGGGCCTGTCTGGCATCCAAAACCATGCCATGTTCAAAATCCACCTAATTCTCCATTCTGATGCTCAGTTTGAACTTCGGCAGGTTGTCTTGAGCATGTTTACATTCCTAAGTGCTGCCATGTGATTGGCTGATTAGAAATGTCATGAAGGAGCAGTTGAAGAGGTCCACCTAATAAATAAATAAATAAGCACAGAGAACAGTGTTAAATGGGGTCCACGTCCAGCATGTTCTTGGGCAGTGCACAGACAGCAAACAGAGCATCATGCACACCAGCAACAACCTTGGCATGTCTGCTGTTTGCTGAACAATGTCTGGCCTTGTTTAGTTTGTGTGTTTTTTCTCCCTCTTCCAGCCTTCAGGTCTAGTTTCATACCGAGTGCCAGTCGGAGTTTGAAGATGCTTGAGAAAATTATGTGACTCATTACTGCTCTCCAGATTGTTTGTTCTTCTTCTCATTAGCCCAAAGGCTCTGCTACATAATGCACTCAGTGAGCTGTCACTCACTGCAGCACAGTCAACAGTGACTTATTTTTAACAAAGCAAGGCAATTACGCATCTTCTCACTGTGTGCTGCTATTCTTTAGCCTTGGCTGATCCACAGATCCAAGCGTTTGTTCTTAAGTATCACAGAGCAGTTCACTGTTGCTGCATGATGCAGAAAGTCTTCAGGTTGTTAAAGAGTTTGTATTTGTATTGTTTTAACATTTGAATCACTAAAATACTTGAAACACAGAGTCTGAAATGTTGTTTCAGCGGTATCCAGCAGAGGTAACAGACCTGTTCAGCGAGGGGGAGATCGGCAGCGGGACTTGTGGACAAGTCTTCAAAGTGCGATTCAAGAAGACGGGCCATGTCATTGCGGTCAAAGTAAGATAGTTGTTTTGTTTGTTTGTTTTTTAAAATGAGCAAAAAAGAAAAAACAAGCCAAAAAAATTCAAAACTGATCAAAATTAAACACTATACACACAAATATTGCATTTGTCTTTGCAAGACTTGATAATAATGCAATAAATGGAGAACGAGGCGATGTAGGATTTTGAAATTCTTACCATTATTTATGTATGTATGTATGTATGTATGTGTAAAATCTCAGACAAGTTTGAATCCTGGTGACTTTCAATTCAACGTCAAGGTTTTTACTCATAAAGGGGTTCGGGTGAAGAGTGAAGCTGGGACCCAGCCCCGGATCAGGATAGATGGATGGACACGCCTGGTTCATCACATCACTTCATAATGTAGTTGTACTCATTCGTTTTGTTCCCCATTGTCAGAAAGTCAGAGGCGCAGGAAATTACTGATACTGGCTCTCAAATATCAGCCGTCTTTAAAGTGTTTGCAGCTGCAGATAAAAATAGATTTTTCATGACATTATCAAACTGTGTGAAATTTATAATGGTGACATTTCTAAAATGTTAATGACAGAGGCAGGAAATGTAGTGATTCGTGAAAGATCCCTGCTTCGACCCCCAGGAGGAGACATCCGGCGTAAAAATCAGCCAAGTTAAATAACGTGGCGCTACCCGCTGTGGCGACTCCTCAGCTGCAGTCGTGTTTGTGCTTGTAAACCGTGGAAAATATCTGCACGCTAAACACAATCATACATGGTTCTGCTGCAGCGCAGATACCCCTGCTTCTCAGAAGTTTTTGGACTAGATTGAAACCACAGCGTTATGGCGACTTAGCTTAGATGCTGTGAACACTCACATGGACACGTTTATTTGTATTTCCTTTTCTTGGATGGCTGGCCGGCTGAAATGTGGATCCCAGCTCAGTTACTTTGTCCTTTATTGTATGAACGCCTATATTTTATTAATCTTGGTTTTTGCAATTTGAATAAAACTGCGCTTCTTAATGTGAGTATTTTTTGGACTAACTGTAGTCCAGACGTGTTTGTCTGCTCATAGTAGATGATGGGAACACACATTCTCTAACTTCAGGTACCATAATCAAAATACTGGGACTAAATCCAAACAGAGAGCCAGAGATTGAAGGCACTCAAGGCTCTGCTCAGTGTAGTCTCACTGTTTTAATTTTCCTTTGTACTTTAATTGTGAATAGTTTACCAACAGAGGAGCAGTTACAGCCCCATATAACAAACCCGCTATTAACGAGATCATTTAATTGTAGCCCTTCTGGGATGTTTAATAATAAGGCAGTCAGTCAAAGCACCAGGGGAGCCTTTGTTTTATTAAAGCCTACACTCGGAGTAGTGCCTGTGTTCATTTACGTTGTCTGTGTGTCACCAGCAAATGCGTCGCACAGGAAACAAAGACGAGAACAAGCGGATCTTGATGGACCTGGACGTGGTGCTGAAGAGTCATGACTGCCCTTACATCATCCAGTGCTACGGCGCCATAGTGACCAACGTGGGTGTTCCCAAAATACTTAACTGTTTGTAATCACAGCAATAAAATTATAGTACTGTAACAGTGCAGCCCCAGGTTTATTTTATATATCTGCACCCAGGGTGTTTTTGACTCTTATTTTAGTGAACTCCCAAGCTCCCAGACCTTAGCTACTAACTGTGTGTTTGTGTGTATGTGTGCAGACGGATGTATTCATCGCCATGGAGCTGATGGGAACTTGTGCTGAGAAGCTAAAGAAGAGAATCCAGGGTCCCATCCCAGAGCGAATCCTCGGAAAGATGACGGTGGCAGTAAGTGGCAGGAACACACACAAACCACTCTGCTCCTATGTTCGTTTTTGTTCTTACAATCTGTGTGTGTGTGTGTGTGTGTCCTATGTAGATAGTGAAAGCGTTGCTGTACCTGAAAGAGAAACACGGCGTTATCCACCGGGACGTCAAACCCTCTAACATCCTGTTAGACGCTAAAGGTCAGATTAAACTGTGCGACTTCGGCATCAGCGGACGCCTCGTCGACTCCAAGGCCAAGACCCGCAGCGCCGGCTGTGCTGCCTACATGGCAGTAAGTGAAAACACACATACACACAGTCTAGCCGTTAAGGGGATGTGTGTACACTGCTTAAAAACTTGTAGACACACTTTAGCATCGAGTCGGTTAAGCTTCTGTGATATTGATCTGGTCAGTTAAGTAGCCGAGACGGTTGTTAATTAGTTTCAGTTAATTAGTTATGTTACATTTGAGTCTGATGCCACCAGGCTTCACCTCAGGCTGTCCTGGAGCTGAGTGATGCCCTGAACCAGATCTGGGAGGAGATCCCCAAACGAGGGTAGTCTCATTAGTTTACTTTAATTTTCGGGTGTCTTAGAATTCAACCCTGATAACCTGTTATTGCTGCTTTGTTGTGGACAGTGCTATGCAGGATAACTTGGTGAGAGTAGAAGATTTTAATAAATCAAGTATAAACGAACTGACTACAAACTAAGTGAGGGAACCACAGAGCAGGTTTAGTGGTGACTGTCACGATGGTGTAAGATAAAGCACAAGACTTGAACGTGTTCAAACTTTGAGTGTTTATGAGGCTGTGCTTGCAGAAATCCCACTCCACACAATGCACACTCTCGGGACAGCTAACCTTAGTGTTGCCTGTTCTTTTCTTTCTTTTTCTTTTTTTTTGTTGTTTTCTTTTTTTTTCTCGTTCTTGCAGCCTGAAAGAATAGACCCTCCAGATCCCACCAAACCTGACTATGACATCCGGGCAGACGTGTGGAGCCTCGGCATCTCTCTGGTAAGTCTGTCATTTCAGTCTGTGCCCTTGGTCGTAATATTTACATCGATGACACTGAAAGACAGTTGCAAAATAAGAACCGAACGGCAGATCCATTCACATTAAAACAGCTGTTTGAATGTGCAGCTGTGATGCATGAGGTGATGCAGCGATAAGATGTGGTAATAACGGCATGTCGCAAATCGACTAACATTTTTAACGAGTGTGGTCATAACTGCATCGGTTTCTAGTGGCTGCGAATACTGGGAGTTAAGTAGGTCAGATTACAAGTAGTGTAGACCAGCGTGTAGCATTTTGTGTGTGCGCGCAAACTAAAATTGTTCATGTCCAACCGTTTAGATTAGCAAATATGTTGCAACACAACACGAGTGCATAAATTTGACCTGTGATGTTTAAAATTTATAGATTCTCTGTCTTATTACTTATCATGTTTTTTTTTTTTTTTTAAATTGAGTATAGTTTGTTATAACCAGATAGGAACGGTTGGCGTTGCGTATTCGTTGACACAAACTGTAATCTAAAAGTTCACTCTTGGGCTCAAAAACCAAAGTACAAAGTGACAGAAATGTTTTTGTTTCTACTTGTAGATCACTTGAGGGCATTAACAGGTTGCTTGTGGTTCTTCCAGGTGGAGTTGGCTACAGGACAGTTTCCCTACAAGAACTGCAAGACAGACTTTGAGGTTCTGACCAAAGTGCTGCAGGAGGACCCTCCTCTTCTGCCTCTCGGCATGGGTTTCTCCCTCGACTTCCAGTCCTTTGTCAAAGACTGGTGAGTGAAAATTCCACTGTAAAGCTGGTGCTCACTGACAGCAGTCCACTCTAGAGCCATCATGTGATCAGGGTGATGACTGGACAGCTGTGTCCACATTAAAAGTAAATGTTTCTGTTCTCTCAGGCTTATAATTCATCTGTGTGCACGAATGTGTGTGCAGTTTGTGTATATTTAAATGGGTGTTTTGTTGTTATTTGTCTTGTATTTCAGTCTTTCTGATCTCTTGTGTACTTCTGTAAAACACATGCCTAATTTTCCTGTAACAAAATGTGCAATAGAAATAACATTGATGCTAAGTTCATTAAAAATTTGCGTAAAATGCATTTATCTCTCTATAGCCTCACAAAGGATCACAGAAAAAGGCCAAAATACCATCAGCTGCTGGTGAGTCGCCTTTTTTTCTAATGGTCGACCCAGATCTTTTAAATTACTCACAGCACAACTGTAGGTAAATGCAATATTTATCTTTTCTCCTCCATTTTAGGAGCATAGTTTCATTCGGCGTTACGAGGTGCTCGACGTAGACGTGGCTGGTTGGTTTCAGGTGGTGATGGATCGCACCGAGTCGCCTCGCAGCAGCCAGTGTTACAGCCATCAGCATCAACTCCACTCGCTCTTTAGTAGGTAGCCTAGCCTCGACCAGCCTGGCGTCAGCTTAGCCGTACGCTAGACTAGCCTAGCTTTAGCTTTGCCAAGCCCAGACTCAGTCTATTCTAGTCTAGCCGTCCGCAGCTACGCCAAGCGCTACACCCATCCCGTCTGTCCATCTGTCCCCTGGGGAAGAAGAGACCTGAAGATCCCACAGAGGAGGGAGGCACGAAGACTCAGTGGAGGACTCTGGATGGACAGATTAAGCAATGGAGCGACAGAGGGATGGATGGCTGACGCAGGTGGTTCTGGTTATTAGGGTGCTGAATCTGGACAGACAGACACGGGGTTGGGGGGGGGATGCACGCTGTAGTGAGCTTCATTTGGTTTAGACACTGTTAGCGCTCACCACGCTATCATCACATCACAGTGTGTGTTGCAGCCAGACACTCACATACAAACTGTGTGTGTAGCTTGTATATGCTTTTACATTTTCTCCTCTTTTCAGTAGTTTTACACACACGTCTGTCTGTCGCCGACATTGATCCAAGCAATTGGATTCGTAAACAGAGTAGTCACTACACACTGGAACAAAGCATCTGCTACTTCAGCAAAAACAAGCCGCTCTTGTACATAAACGATTTAGAGGACAGAACAAAGTCTGGTGCAATTATGATTCTTCAGGTGTTTCTACCATCACACATTCTCAGGCTGTATCTATATGTAGTGTGTCTGTGTGCGTGTGTATATGTCAGTGTGAGCATTTCTATGTATGGATAACTATAACGACTCACTCACCGGCTTTTAATAGTGAGGTTGTATTTCCTCGTTAATTCACCTTCACACTACAGCTCTAACACACAAACGAGAACAGATTAATCTGTTGGCTGTGCTTTTAATTTGAAAGGCTTTTGTTTTTTTTTGTTTTGTTTGTTTGTTTGTTTTAAATAGCATAATTTTTTGTGTTTGGGAGAAACAATGAAAAACACTCACAAAAAAATTAGCGTTGCATTTTAGCTTTATAGAAAATAAGTCGTGTATTGTTTTGAAGACGGGTTTGTTTTTTTTGGGGTTTTTTTTGGTGATCGATGCGTGCCGCGAGTACATCCACACTGACGTTTTTGTTTTAAAAAGTGTAGTTTTTACTACATGTGCGATGAACATCCAGACAGCAAGGCTGTAGTGGGTCATGCTCCGTCATTCAACGACCTCCAGTCTATAGCCCAGGTTCACACACACATTTGGCTGTTAACGGGTCTGTAAATTAGGCAGCAGGGTATGATGAGGTACCTTCTGATTGGTCAGACATAAGCTGGAACTTGCAATACTAATCAGAGTTCAGTTTATTTAGGCATTTAAAACACTACAAAAAGCAGCCACGTGTCATTCTGTTATTTGTACTTTCAACAAAAGCAGTAATGTAACTTAATTATGAGCCAATTTTAAAAATCCAAACATGCACAAAGTTTGGAAAGACACAAAGAGTGTGGTTTGTAATGGAGAGCCCACTTCCAATCAAGCTAGGTTGTAGTAGACCCTGTGCATGAATGTGAACAGTACAGGGAGAAGCTTGGAAACTGCGACAGTCTCTTGTGTTACGTTCAGAAGCCGTCTCGCCTCATTTGTCCAAGCAGAAAAGCTTCTTGCAGTTGGCTTTGTTGCTCTGGAGTATTTTCCTGAAGCTACCGGCCCTCTGCTTCCTGTTTACACTGGCACACTTGTTCACGTTGTATGCGATATATCAGCGTGATATAGTGTTACAGGCGTGTTTAGTGTAGACGGAGATTTTTAATGAAAAACGCCGTTTTAAAATGAAACGTATTAGTGTGGATGTAGCTTGAACTTCTTCTGGAAGATTGAAAGTTGAAAGATTTAACAAATGTTACAAGAGAGAGAGCAGCTGGGTGATTTTAAAAAATGGGAGCGTTTTTGGGGGTTTTGTACAGAGAATTTAAAAGGTGTAGATCTTATGACCTGTGGAGCATTTCTTTACTTCACTCTCTGTTCATCTACCTCTTCCTTTTTGTCCACCTCTCTGCCTCCGTAGTGCTCCACAGTGTTCTTAGACCAAAGGCTGCACGTGGGTTGTTGGCAGAGGCCGAGAGACTTAGATTTGCTCCTGCAAACCTTCAGATATTAAGAATCCACGGAGGAGAGTCTGAGCAGTGCTGGTGTGTTTTTTAGGAGGCTAAAACTGTCAGGCTGGGGCCTGTAATTCCATTTTGCTTGTATTGGATCATTATCCTGTTTTTACCGAGCTTTTGGATGAATATCAATGATATGCCATTAATTTCTGCTGATTTATCGGAGTCATTTCTTTTCCCCCAATTCTCCTTTTATTCTTCAGCTGCACAGTGGATTACTGGACTGATTTGGTTTCATTATTATATACTGAGACCAAGAATTGTTACAGTCAAGATGTAAAAGATGACTAGGAGGTGGAAAAAAGAGTTGTTACCTTTTGCAGAATTACTTTAATTGATTAGGTAAAAAAATCCCCATTCAAAGCTCTTTTTTTTTTTTTTTTTTTTCACTCCCTGTTTATTTCTACAAAAGAAAACAGGCTGACCACTGGCACATGAGTTACAGTTTGAGAACCCAGCTTAAAGGATGTGTGTACATATACTGTGTAAACGTGAGTGCAAGTCTACATAGGCCGACTGAGCAGAGCGCTAATATCTCCCTTCTTGCGGGACCACAGCCAAAGCATGCTAGATGTTCAGACTACATCCCACAAACACCAAATCGCTGTTAGACAGAACAGAGGAGAGGCGATGACTGAGAGGGGGAAACGCGAAGTCAGAGAGACGGAGAGGGGTCCGGGAATGTTGTCAAGATGGTAGAAATGAGTGTGGGGTGGGGCAACGTGAGGTGACGAGGAGGATAAAGAAAGCGTGGTGGCAAGTTCAAGGAAAGTCAGAGACAAGCTGAGTGACAGGAAGTAAGTGTAAGAGAGGAAGCAGTTTCACACAGGAGTGCTGAGCTCTGAGGCTAGCTGTTTGTTTTTGTTTGTTTCGGGGGGGTTTGTAAAGAGCTTTCATGGTGTTACGCCAACCTACCAATTCTGATTTTAGCGATTTAGCTTGTTGCGTTTGTGACGTTTACTGTTCTGTTCGGACTGTTATTTATTTGCATTGCTGCTGCTACTGTTTTTTTTTGTTTTTTTGTTTTTTTTTATTGCGTTAGACGCTGCTGTCACTTCTTTTCCCCAAAGGACGAATATTTTATTCTTGTTCTTTTAAGCCAAATAAGTGAAATAATGCAATGTCCATACACGTGTTACCAAAATAAGCAAGTCTGAAGAGAGCAAAAGCAAGTGAGAGAAGCTCGGATAGATTAGAGAAGGACGTGCAGAAAGGTTGGCTTCACGCAAGTACTAACTCACGCCTCACCTCAAATGTACCTCTTGTGTGTTTTGAAAGCAGTTAATTGTCATATCCTGATGCCACACTACACACTACTACTCTGTACAGTGTAGATATGATTTGGGGGTTGGGCGGGTCTGTCTGTCTGTCCAGATGCTTTGTGCCACATCCATCCAACACTCTGTCCATCCACTCCTCCATCTGTCTGCAGGTCCCCTGCAAGCTTGACAACCTTGATAGTTCACACCAAAGGTGACCACAACTTAACAAAAAGACGAAAGAGCGTTGTTGTTATCATTATGAGTCTTGTTATTGACATTATAATTGATTACTCTTAGCTATGATTATATATGAAATCTCTCTAGCTAGTGGGAGAGGATGTGTGTGTATGTGTGTGGGGGGAGTATGTCCCATGTATGTGTCATATACAGTACAGAGGGAGACTGGTGCAATAATACATGACCAGCTGGCTCAAACTCACCGCAGGCCTGAGTCAGGAACTGAGCTCACCTGACTCTTGGCATCACTGAGCACCTGAATGTTAGCCGTTCGGGATAAGCGGTGTCACACCGCTGCTACACAACTGGCTCTGTTAGCTCTGGGCTTACCGATCTGAGTGTGTCCTCTTCAGTCAAGTTATTGAAGCCGCAAAAAAGGTGTTAAAGGTTAAGAGGTATACCGTTAATGTAAAACATTAAAAGTGACATTGTGCTCATTTCTAACTCCATATTTTTAGTAAGAGAATCAACTAGAGTAGCTTTGCACGATTCAGCCCCAGCATAGATTCAGCTTCTAAGCCCCACCTCCTTATAACCATATAAGGAAATATGTAGGAAAGTGATTATCCAGTGTTACAGTATCTGTATAATGCAGAAAATAAAGCATAATGGGAATTGGAAGCACATATTTCCTTACTTGGCTAAAATAATCCTGATAATTTAAGAAGACTCATCAACACAAACTGAAATTAATGTTTGATTTATAACCAATATTCTCACACACGGACCTTTAATGTCGTGTACAGATGATGCTGCGTCTTTAAAATACACTCATTGATAATTCAGACCCAATTAGAGTCTTTCTGTGGTTTTTATCTGTAGATGCTGATTGATTAGGTTGCTGGCTTGGTAAGCTCGCTCCAAGTTGTTAAATGTTTCTGAATGATGACTGCGGAGTGACCCGATCATGTTAATTAGTCCCAGTTAAAGGTGGGCCAGCTTTGTGATGCAGAAAAACCCGGCTTGATCCTGACTCACTGACCCAGGCCTCTGAGCAGATGTGAGGTGGAGTTGGCCTGACTCCGTTAGTTCAGCCGTTCTCTGGTTGTCATACGGACACCGGATGTGAGCTGGAACCGATTTAAAGTGGTGCACACTTCCATACGACGGGTGAACACCCCCCCCCTCCCCTCAAAACTATTATATACAGCCCTGGTTCTGGTGCTCTGCCATCACAGCAGCCTGAGCTCTTCTCATCGGTGCAGTTTCAAATACAAGCTCGGCAGTACACGCCGCACTTCCTATTCAGCGCTCAGTGTTCAAACTGTGCGTGCATGCGTGTGCCTCGGCTAACTCGTGATAAAGCTGGACCCAGTCTCCCGCTGTCGAGGTTCTCTGTTATTAAGCTGACATGTATTTCACAAACACGCGCACACACTTGCCGACCGTGCCGTTGGTGTGCATTTTCACTTGGTTGGCTGACGGTGCCACACACCACCTTTAAATCCTGTCACATGTAATTGCTTGTATGTGTGTTTGTGTGAGAGTTGGGGGGGATTAAACATCTGATTACTAAACTAGACACACACACACACACACACCAAATGTATAAAGTTATCCCATTCTACACAGCAATGCTGGCTACTGCCGATAGTGGCTTTATGTGTATATTAGCTTGTGAGGGAGTCTGTGTGTGCGCGTGTGCGTGTTGTAACCCCATCTGTAAGTAAACCAAATATCATTTTCACTATGCAGTCATTCAAACCATGTCAGCTTGCTTCAGATTTGTTTGTTTTTAAAATTTGCTTTCATCTGGTGAGGTGGGGGGGAGATGCTTCGTGTACATACAGAGTTGGCATCGATGCATTTTTAAAAAAAAAAAATCCCCCCCCCCCCCTTCTCGAGCTCCACCTCCCTCCTTCCTTCCCTCCCTCCCCCCCTGTGTGATCAATATCACCGGCTTCAGCGAGAAAGCAAAAGAGATGTTTTGAATGAGCTGACAAATATTTAAGGAATGTATTGGGGTCGGGGAGGGACGAGGGGGGGTCAGACCGGGGTTTGTATTTTTTTTTTGTCTTTTGTTGTTGGTTTGTTTTTGGGGGGTTTTGGCGAAGGGGGAGGTAACAGATCAATGCTGTAAAGTATATCGATTGCATGTTATTGTCACCGCTGTAACTGCCATTGTTTTGTTTTTATTGTTTCTTTGTTTTCTTCCAAGACAATGGTCGGTTGGGACGGGGATGCACAAAACTTTATTCTTATTTATGATTTTTACACGTGTACTCTGTATTTTTGCTTTTGCAACAAAAAAGTTGAATTTTTGTGTAATTAGGAAAAGAGAATTTGTTTGGTTTTTTTTTCCCCAACATGCTTTTTCACTTCAGACCCGTCACTATGTGTTGAGGAGGATGAGGAGGAGCTGGATCTTTATTAGCAGACAGTGTTTGTCCTGTTTTCGCCTCGTTCGTGTGCACAGTTTCTCTTTTCAGTTAGCCGCGTGGAGAGTGTGCGTGATGGTTAATCGTCTACCAAAAGTCTTTTATTGATGGTGATTATTATTATTAGCGTTTATTTTATTTTTTTTATTATCATCACAATTACTATTATTACTGTTTTTATTATTGTTGTTAATATTATTATTATTCAGGGCAAAGATGACACCAAATTGAACAAGGAAATAAGTGGGTGATAGAGAGCGGGGCGGTCCGTCTTTCTAAAGGTTTCCTTTTTATAGGCGAGGTGGAGCAGTTGGTTTTTCCCGTTACGCTGTAGTTGGTCTGTCCACCTTTGTCAAACCGCCACATAAAAGATGACCTCTGAACTCAAAGTCTGATAGTATTTTTATTTTTTTTATTATTTTGATTGTTATTATATATTGTTTTCCTTTTGATCAGATATCATGATCAGTTTATTTCTTGTTACCCCAGTTTGGGTCATAAATTGTGTGCTTTTTTTTTTTTTTTTGTGTTTTGGTTTGGGGTTTTTTGTCCCTTTTTATTTTATTTTTTATTTTTTTATTATTCTTTCTGGTTTGCTCTAGTAGTGAGCTGATGGTAAAACACCAGAGCTTTCTTTTTCTTTTTTAATTGCTGAGACTGTTGTGACTGATGTTGCACTTGTGATGGTTTTATTTTTGTTTTGTGTTGCAGATTGTTGTGCAGACAGGAGGAGAATATTGGGTGTTTTCCTTATTTTCTAAGAGTCACAGCAGTTATTTTATCAATCATATAAATCTGTGAGACAGAGCAAGAAGATGATTCAACAGTGTATTTTTCTCACTGGTATTTATTTATTAGTCCTTTGTATGTTATTTGTCTTTGGTTTTTTTTATGGTTCTTTTTAATATGTAATTTTTATTGTTTTGTGGAGGGCAAACAGGATACAAGGCAGAGGAGTAGACTCTCTATTGGCATTTTTACCGTCGTGTACAGAAAGCTAAATGTCGTGCTCGATCACCACACTAATGTACAGTCTGCTCGGTAGATTAAAAGTTTATTTTCGAAGAAGATGAAAGGTGCAGCACAGTAAAAATCACTCTTTCTGGTTTTAATGTGACTCCCAGATGATTTTGTTTGCTGTTTACCCTCTCAGAAGACCCCATCAGACTCCTCATGGTTTGGAGCAACTGCATGGTGTGTTTGATTCAAGTGCTTCGCTAATTATTCACAGTTAAGTTGTTTGAATTTGGATGGTTTTAATCAGTGGATGCCACCCTCAGCGCTGACTTTCTTTAAAAATGTATAGCTGGTGATAGCTACTTTAATAGTGGACTGATTGGCTTGTTGTTATGACAGCGAGGTTGGGACATGCCTGCTTTGACAAGGTTTTTTTTGCCTGTTCCTTCTGAATTGTCAGTGTAGACTGCATGACTTTGCTTGTGAGCGTGGTGAGGGGGGTAAGAGGACTGACTTCAAAGGCTTCATTTATGTACACACACACGCACCGATTTATTGTCTTGACCGTTGTATCAGTCAACACAGCTTTACTGCCCATTTCCTTTGTCTTTTTTTTTTGGGGGGGTTTTGTTTTGTTTTATTTTTTTGTTTTTAGCTGTATTTCATCCCCCTCCCCAGTGTCATTTCAAATAAAATAAATGCCATTATATTGTGAATACCTCAGGATCTCTTTGGAGTAAAAAAAAAAAAACATAATAAAAGACATAAAAATCAAATAAATAAATAAAAACTCATAAAAAAAAGTTTGTCTTGTGGTATTTTTCTCTTCTTCGAAATATCCTCACCTGTGTGAGAGTCACGGACAGCTCTTGCATCCTACAGTTCCCACAATGCAAGGTAGTCAGAGTGTTAGGGTTTGGTTGAGTGTAAAATACCGGCAAAGACAAAATTATTTTCTGATTTATACAAAGCTCAAAAACATCAGCAAGGGTTTGAGCTTCCGCCCGAGAAAGCATCATACCAAAAACAAGAAATCCGTAAAGACTTGAGGAAAAATAATCATTGATGCTCACAGCATTTTCAAGTGTCAGAACATGGGTAGGAAGTGAAACATCTCAAAGACTCCGGAAGGTAAAGTAGTAAGAGATGTCCCTAAAGACCCCAGAACTGCCAAGTCAGGACTTGTAGTCTCAAAGAAGACAGTCACCAGAGCTCTGCACAAGAATGGACCGCGAGGTTGCAGACCAAGAAAATAACTCCACTTCTGCAGAAGAGACACCTTCAACCCAGACTGAAGTACACCAAGGACACCATCTGCACAGTGAAATACGGTGGTGGGAGTATTATGTTGCGGGGATGTTTAAGTAAATCTGGAACTGGGAGTCCCCTCAAGATTTTGCAAAGAAATCATCAACCAATGAGCAGAAAACGTGTTTCTGGGCCATTACTACCTCCAGAACACTAAAGTGAACGTTACCAACCGGCCTGCAGAAAGCCATCAAATCAGCATTTGGGAAATAATAATTTTCATGGAGAGGATAATTGTTCTGAGTTTACGTTCACCTTGCTAGGACTGAACCATCTAACCTTCCTACCCGCCTTAACTCTTCGTGTCATAGATTTAACAAGGCGCCGGAAACATTCCTCTGAGACTTTGGTCCACTGGGATGATAGCATCGCACAGTGTCTGCAGATTTATTGGCTGCACATCTGTGATGTGAATCTGCTGTTCCGCCACATCTCAAACAGAAGATTAAGACTTTATTGGTTCCACACAGAGCGGATTTACTTCTGGAGATTTCTGGTAAGAAAATGTAGCACATGAGTGTGTTAAAATTTAATAAAGAAAACGGTAGCAATCATGCACAGAAAGAAATAGACCACACACAACAGGCAGCAAGAACTGCTACCAAGTATTTGCAGTGCCTGATAATGAGTGTCTCACTGTGGAGGAATTTAGGCCCACTTTTAATCACAGAATTGTTTTAATTCCACCACTGGAGTTTTTTTCACGCCAAAGCATCGCGATTTGATTTACTTGTATATTGTTCACATGTTGAAATAAATTACCAATCAATCAATCAATCAATCAAGTTTTGACTTTGAGCCATTCAGAGCCATCCAAGAGTCGTGTATGAGCTCTTGGAGTAATTTTAAAAGGCTGATCACTCCTGGGAAGGTTCAGCGTAGTTGTTCTCTCCGTTTTTAGATGTCAGTGAACTTTGTCACTTAGGTGTTTCTTGAGATTATTTTAGTCTACTTCACTTTGTCATACAGATTCTGTTTAAGTGATTTTTTTTGGTTAGTGTAGTAACGTTGAACTCGGCTTTCCCCCCCAAAAAACGTTTCTAATTCATGACTCCATCCATCTAAATTGAAGGTAAAAGTGAAGGCAGACACACTTATCCTCTTCTTCTTCCTGTGGCGTCTGCACATTCCCCTCACAGGGAAATTTACCACAATTGCATGCATGACAAGACAGAACAGGACTTGGCATGACTCTGCTTCTGCTCATATGATTAAAAGCTCACACTGAGCAGATCATGCCGAGTACTACGCAGGAATAAACAGAGTAAGATCACCTATCAGTCACTGCTGTGTGACCAATACGTTCTTTGTCTTGATTTCAGAAGTAGAAGAAGCTGCATTATATGTGAGGTGATGTAACTACAGACTTTGCCCCAAGGAAGCAAAAATAAACCACCAGCATAACGACTGAGCGAGCTGACAGCTCTGGAAACTCTGCAGGCTTGTGCAAAAGGGTTAAAACGTGCTGGAGGTGGAAAGTTTCCCCAAGTTTCACATGATGATGTGTGATAATTATGTGAAAGAAAAATCAGAGTGGTAGCAGTCAGCATTGAACTTTCTAAAGTGGAGGTTGAAGCCTCGTGAACGTGAATATTCTGTATTTTTATAGAGAAGAAAAGACACAGAAACCCTCAAAGTCAAGACATCTGTGTCGCAACATAAAACAGAATCTTTCTAAAGATATTGTTTTATGACTTGTAATTAATCACAGCACCGTGTGGCTTGAGGTGCTCTTCATTTCTTTATCCGTTGGTAGAAAAATGTGAGGGAAAGCTAGTGAAACGTGTAAAGACATACATGGAAATAAAGGATGTAAGACAACTTCTTTAAGTAGTCTTCGGGAAACGTTCTCCAGGCTTCTTGAAGGACATTCAGAGCTCTTCTTTGGATGTTGGCTGCCTTTTGTTCTGTTCTCTGTCAATGTGATTGCCACACTGCCTCAATAATGTTGAGGTCCAGGCTCTGGAGGAGGCCAATCCATGACTGATAGTGCTCCATTGTGTGCCTGTGTTTTTTTAAAATATGTTTTTATTGTGTCTTTGGGATCAATGTGATGCTGAAGAATGAAGCCATTGCCAATCAGATGCTTTCCAGATGGTATTGGATGGTGGATTAAAATCTCACGGTACTTTTCTGGGTTCATAATTAGATTCATCTCTCCATCAGGTCTGATTTTCAGTCCAGGTCTTGTGTAATTAGGCACACCTCAACCTTTGCTCCCCATTTTTCTTCCACTGAGACCATTTCCGATGAGGCTCCATTGAGGAGTAAATGGATCAGCTGAAGGAGCGGAGGCACCTCACAGGTCCTGTGTCAGCTCTTTGTTGTTTCTTTCCCCATATCTCTTAACAACAAGACTTTGAGATGCTGATCATTTGCTGTAGATTGTTTTTAGACCCTTCACTTCTTCTGTTCTCCATTTGTGCAATTTTAAGGACACACTTTACACTGTGCCAAGATATGCCAAATTTTGGGTTAACAGCTGTTTGGGATTGACCTAGTTGTCCAAAAATACTATTTCATCATTTTGTCAGACTCTGTTAACATTTTCTGTAAATTCAGCCAAAGAAATTTGAACAAATTGTGTGTTTTTGCAGCAGGGTGCTATAGCAACAAAGAGCCTAAAGACACAATTGAATTTTTTTGTTTAGTTTTCTGTTATGTGCAGATACAGCACTGGTTCATCCCTTGGGTTAGGTGACATTTGAAGGATTCACAGATCAGTGTTAAGGGGTCCTAATAAATGACTGGACTAAAAACAAGTGAAAAAAGGAAGCAATGTCCAAAGACAAAGTTGGATGATCTTCAGAAAGCCAGGAGAACCTGCAAGAAATTACAAGAAAATGTGTCTGTTTGGAAGCAAAATATGAAGATATGAAGGATGGCTCAGGACTTTTTCACAGTAAAAATGAATTTATTGACATTGTTTCTTGTTCAAGAAGATTTCAGATTTGTTACCAGATCAAAGTCTAAAAGTCTAAAAAAAGAAAACAGAAAAATAAAGTGTTAATAATGAATTTCACAGTTCTCTGTAATATGTTGTGTGCTGAGTCAGATGTAGTTTAATTAGATGTGGGGATCTTAAAGAGGTTTTTTTCAGAGGTATTTTAATGAAGGCATTTACAGTGAAGGGTTATGTGTAAAACATTTAAGGATTACTTTCATCCACCAGGTGGGACAAATCTATTCACAGTAATCCTGACTTTAAGTGTGTATGCTTAATTTTATTGCCTACAGGTTAAACCAGTTAAAGACACACACACACACACCAGTCAAGTATTCATATCTTGTGGGAACATCTAATTGACATAATGGTTTCCCTAACCATAACTATGAAAAATGAATGCCTAACAATAACCCTAAATTTAACAAACACCCAATTTAACCATTTCCCTAAAGTCTCAAAATGCCTTTAACTTGCGGGGACCAGGATTTTGGTCCCCACAAGTAAAGTAGACTTCCAACTTTTGGTCCCCACAAAGATATGAATACACACAGCGTGCCGTCTGTTCCGTTCATGCTGCGACCTGCTGCTCCTACATTTCTGCTCATCTTTGATGTGTGTCAGGTCTTTAACAGCAGCGGGACTGGGGCTTGGGGGTAAAGACAGGGCTCGAAACGAAAGTTACACCACAGCGAGACCTCGCAACAAAACACCCCGCCTCCTTCCGCCCCTGAGCGCTGCGCCTTCTCTCTTTCTGGAAATCTCTGACCTTATAAGGTAGGAAATTAAACCAGAACCTCATTGGTGGACGGGAGACAAGGTACAGGTAAACGTTTGGCCTTGTTTGGGATGTGCTCGGATGTTTGTGAGAACAGCTCTTGTTTCTATTACTTCAGTTTACCTTAGAATGTAATTTGTTGTTGCAGATAAAAACACCCTGTCAGAAACACGGTGCAAAGGCCCACTGTGGCTGACACGTCTGCAGTGATAGTGGGGCCAATCAGCTTCCACTTAAAAAAATGAAATGATAAAAACAGGAACACACTTTGTGCACGAGACTTACATGTTAGTTTACATGCTGCAGTCATTAATGACACATGAGAGGTGCCACACATGTTCAATGAGGTTTAGTCCCTGAAAGCCTTTGGTTGTTTTTCCAGTACTGCTGTGGAAGACAACAGGTATTTATTTAAGCTGTGCATTCATTATTGATAGACAATCATATCATGTCAGGAAAAAAAAATGACAAGGAACTTAAGTGAGTCATAATTTAAAATTAGTCATTTCATTAGACAGCTCTTCATAATAAGTGGAGGATGTTAGTGAGTATGGTCAGTCAAACTGTATTTTCCATTTTCTGTTTCATTATCAACATTTATGATTTATGCACTTTGTTTGTTTTATAAAAAAAAATTCCATCCGGGTTGTAAAATAGCAAATTTCTTTCTTTTTGATTCAGAGCGACTCGCAAGTCCGCGTTTTTACGTGGAGCACTTGAACACCGCGCGAGGAGGGGGCGGGGCCGTTGGCTTACCTGCGAAAAATAAAACTGGGCCGATCCCAGGTGGAGTCGACGCATCCTCGCTGATCCACGCCTGAGCAGCAGGAGCGCTTGACGGAGCGGACAGCCGGCTGAAGACGCGACGAAGAGGAGCGGAGAGGTGGTGTTCTTGTGGCCCCTCCTGAGCAGCTGCTTGTTTTGTGAAGGTGTCGAGAAGGAGGTGGTGGAGGAGGACTGCTGCAAACACGAACGCAGGAAGGCGACTCATCACACCTGCAGTGCCTGTAGCTGAAAATCAGGTGTGTCACCTCGTTTCCTGCAGGTAGAGAGATAAAAATGCTGTAGCGAAGACTTCAAAGTAAGAAATTAAGAGATAAGATATGTAATGGCTCACACCTGGGCAGGTTCTCTCGTCAGGTGAAGCGCGTGCTCCATTATCGTCTCATTGACTGCGGAATTATTTCTACAACAATTTAAAGTGACTTTTTTGTATTTGTTGGCTGAGACGCGAGCTTGCAGACGTGTTTGTGTTCTCACACCTGTGAAACCAACAATCAGAGAGCTTTACTTCGACGGGCTTTAAACCTTCACAATAATTCAGAACTTTAGCCTCAAACAGCTGAATAAACTTCATGTGGGTTAAGTTTTATTTTGGTGGCCTGTATGAACTGAGTGGAAGGCTGCATGAAGTGATGACGATGACAATATGGCACAAACACAATTTGAAGTAATTTGAGGTACCGAGAGCTCATGTTTGCCTTTTTTACAGAGTTTAATGCAGTTTTTGTCATTGTTGCACAAGATGAGTTGTTTGACTTCCTTCATGTAACAAACTGCACACACCCAGCTGCTATGTCTGTCTGCAGGGCACAAAATTGGAGAGCAGACACCAAAGAGGACAAAGAGCAGTGCAGCAGCACATGAATTTTTATTTTTTTTTAATTGTATGAAGGGCATATCTTGCAAAAACCGGTTGCTGATCATAATCAATTCTTCCTCTTTTGTAATTAAACTTCACTGTGACCACAAAATCAGCCAAGGTCCTGCAGAAAAAAATGCCATCTCACCCTCAGTGTCAGTCAGCTCTCTGCCTGTTACACAAAGTGAAATGCAAAACATCTTCGGCTTAAAGTTGACTTTTCTGTTTTGACCTGTTTTTCACTCGTCCATCTACATCTTCCAGCCACGATCGTTTCACATATCAAACATCTTGTGACTGCAGTCACATTTTAAACAATTCTCAACAACATCTCCTCAGTCTGTCACCCCACCGGCCTCGTATCACCAGCCAGGCTTCAGACGACAGGACTCGTGTTCTGTGTTAGGTAAGAGCCACAGAAGCCCGGATAAAGCCGGGATTGACTTGCGGCCAAGAACAAAAGAGAGCAGGCGAGTGGAGGAGATGCTGAAAACGTGATGAAGAACACTAGAGAGGTGGATTAAACGGGCCCTTGCAGACAATAGGAGAGCATGTGCTGTGTTTGAGGGTGGATCTGTTTCCAGATGTGGTCAAGCTTCATCCCGACCTCAGCGGAGGTTCACCAGGACACGGCTTACGATAGCTAATGTTTGGATTTTAATTATAAAAGGAACAGAGAATACTGAAGTAGCTCATTTTGTTATTTTGTTCCACCGTGTCAAAATGTGCAAAGGCACTGTGTGCAACTTCCTGAGGAAGTTGGCCTGTTGGTGGCTTCATCAAAAAAGCCGCATGCATGTGAATCTAAAAAGTTTAGAATAAAAGACTTTAGCCGTCATAGCTTAGCTTCACGCACACGACGCTCTGCAGGATTTCAGTCCTGAATTAAAGCAGAGGAAATGTCAGTGTGTTCCTCTTCCTCCCCCACTTATCTTCAAGACTTTGAGCACATAATGAACTTAGGAGAGACACAGATGACACCTTGTCCACTGATCCCTTTTATCCCTCAGTCTAAGCGCACTCGCACACTCTATCTGTGCCTTTATCTCTGCACAAAAACAAACACACACACCGCTCTGCTGTTTTTTGCATCATCCACCCTCTGATCCAAGAGACGTCGGCTCCTCTGAATGAGTCTCAGCATCGAGGGTGTGCAGGCTGCGCTCATGATGAACGCTCTTACAGCCCAACTTATCATTTCAGGATCATTCGATAAAACCGACCTGCATTTATATCCTTAATCGGTGAAGGATGGTGTTGATGTGTGGAAAACTTTATCTTCTACCTACAGTATCTACACTGAGTCTGATGTTTTGAGTTCTTTCCCGACCTCTCTGCTTGGAGTTCAGTCATTTCTGGCCTGCGTGATGCAGCTGAAACATTGGTTTTCTAATGTTTGATTTTTCTAATATGACTTCAGGAAGGGGAAATGTTCCACTAGCTTAAGTCATCTAAAGGCTTTGAACATCAGGGGTGAGAACTGGTTCCAAATAGTTTGATCTATGAGAAGCTTATCATCTCCTTTTATCAGTGCTGGTTTGTCTCTTTTGTGCAACAAAGTGGAGTTGTTGCACGCTTCAGTCACAGACGTGCCTTTTTCTTGACAGAAAATGAAACGGTTGTTTAGTGGGCATGACTCAAAGCTCTAAGCTGTAAGTAAAAGATTATATGTTCATCTGAACAAACTCTTTTAATGGGGGGGGGAAACTGGCTGTCAATAACTTTAATTTGCATTCACCATGTGCAAATTTTCTTGGCAAGGTCACATCCAGTTGATTATTTATTTAGGTTTTTAATGTCTTTCAGGGCATTTCTTTTTCTTTCTGCAGCCCCGAGTACTTCTCCAGGGTGTGGCTGGGGAATAATCACATTTCTCCACCTGTCCAGACTTGCTCTGACATTCCTTTCTACCACTCTGAGTGCAAAAGCGTCCGTCCACAGACCTCCGTCAGGCTTTTTACATATAGGCTCTACACAGAGCAGCATAGCTGCACATTTATCACCTGTGCTGGAACAGAGGGTCACGGATGATGAGCAGGAGTCGGGAATTTGTGGAATTCTGTGTAATGAGTTGGTGAGGAAGGAATGCGGGCCTGATGGGGAACAAAAGATGGACAGGTAGAAAAATAAAAGCAGTCGTAGAACAGAGCACAGCTGAAAAGAGATTAATCATTTTGTCAGACTGCGATGAGCCTCAGGTCAATAATGTGATCCTGACATTAGTATCTGGGTTGATTGGCTGTCCCAGCTCTGGTTTAAAGTTAAAGGTGGTTGCAGGAAAAGAGGCTACATGGTCATAATGACACTGCGGGGAACAGCTGCAGAGCAGATGTCCAAACCTGTGGTGCAGTTCTCATCATCTTCAAAAAGAACACAAACGCACACACATAAGATGAGGTAGCACAGTCCTCAGTATTGGTGGTCTGATCTGAATCATTAATCTGAATATTTTTATTTACTCAGAGTTATCTCATTTGTGTCTTTAATTCAGTTACAACACAAAAGAGACAACAGGAAGGATGACGTGCAACAAAGCTGCCACTGTGAACACACTGCGTTCAGTGTCGTAAGCCTGCCTTTATGTAGAAATCTTTCAATGAATCAAACGTGCACAGTCACTTCGATGGTCTTAAATCTTGCACAACAATAAATGGAGTTTTTTGTACAGGCTGTGTAGATGACTTGGACTCATGAGTCATCTGCATTTTAAATTGTATTTTTGCCTCGACTGTGGTTTTGAGGTTGGTAAACTCTGCAGAGTCTCTGGGAGCTTGTGATTCGAGACTCAAGAGTTTGTTCGCTGTACCCGCAAGAAATTCTGTCAAAATAATCCAGCGCATCATATCTCTAGCCCTTAATCTCTCAGAAACGGCTGCTGTAAAGTAATGTGCGTACCCCTCTGTAAGGAGGTATTTTTAATTCTCACAGAAAGTTATTTTTTTTATTTATTTTTTGCCCCAATAATTTCAGTGCTCTTGTCTGTAAAATGTGAAAGATCAGACTGTCACAGTGTTTTGATATTTGTTAAAATCCTCTTGTTCTGTTTGTTTTGTTTTTTAAAAGCTACCATGACTGATGCAGACAAGTTCCTGTATGGGGACCGCAGTGCGCTGACCGACCCTCTGGCTCAGGCCGACTGGGCCACCAAGAAGCTGGTGTGGGTCCCCAGTGAGAAGATGGGTTTTGAGGCCGGCTCCATCAAAGAGGAGAAGGGAGACGAGTGCATGGTGGAGCTGACGGACTCTGGCAAGAAGGTGAAACTGAAGAATCAACAAGCCTGTGTTGCAGTGTGTACTTTTTACTGTCCCAGCCTTGTTCAGCAAGCCTGACTCTGCTTCTGTTAATCTCAGGTGAAATTCAACAAGGATGACATTCAGAAGATGAACCCACCCAAATTCAACAAGGTGGAGGACATGGCGGAGCTCACCTGCCTGAACGAGGCCTCTGTGCTGCACAACCTCAAGGAGAGATACTACTCCGGGCTCATCTATGTGAGTGGGCAGGGATCTGTTTTTGTTGCATTTTAATGTTGCCGATCTTCCTGAAATCGATGTTGCTGCTGCTCCTCGTCGACTGATTGGTCTCGTGTTGTCTCTCGCGCAGACGTACTCCGGCCTTTTCTGCGTTGTGATCAACCCGTACAAACACCTGCCCATCTACAGCGAGGAGATCGTGAACATGTACAAGGGCAAGAAGAGGCACGAGATGCCCCCTCACATCTACGCCATCACAGACACGGCCTACAGGAGCATGATGCAGGGTAAGGCAGCTGTAAAATTAGTTTTAAACGCGTCCATACTCCATCAGGTCAATGATGTACCGTACAAAGATGTAATTAGAAATTTATTGGCATGCTTAAGGAAAAAAATGTTTAAAATGTCACACACTTCACCTTAGTTTCTGATCTGGAGTCTCATCTTTCTCTTTTACAGATCGTGAAGATCAGTCCATCCTCTGCACGCAAGTCTTTCTCTTTTTTTGTTCATTTTTTTTTATGTTTTTGCAAAAACAAATTACAATCATTGCATCATCCCCCCCCCCCCCCTTTGTTTGCGCTACTTTTTTTTTTCTTTTTCTTTTTTTTTCTTCCTTGTAGCGGAAAGTTTGACATCATGCATTATATCCAGTGCCTAATATTTAGTCTAGGAGTTTCATTTTCAGAGCAAAACTTTAAGCTTTTTTTTTTTTTTTTTTTTTTTTTTTTA